CGCCGCTGCCAGCCCCGCCAACTCGCGCTACCCGGCCCGCCGGTAACCATAGAGCTCCCTCGGCACTCAGCTAGCGCGGCAAGCACCCATGCGCCACGTGACCAATATGCCGCGAGCCTCCCGGCGAGCGCGCACGTAGCGCCCCGTAGGAGGAGAGTGGGTCCCGCTAAGGCCGCTGTCGCTCTCTGGCGAGTCGATGCTTCCGCCACGGTAAGTGTCATGGCCGCCTTGGGGCGCTCTAGGTGGGGATGCTCATGCTGTGCCTGGCAGTGTCACCGCCTCCATGGCTGGGTCCCGCCCACCCAAGCTGGCATCCTGCCAGCACAGAGTTCCCGTGTCACCCCCTCACTGGGCAGTCCGGGTGCTGCCTTGTCCCCCAGCTCCCTGTACCCATCCACCTTGGCACGGGCTCGCCACCTTCATAAGGATCCTTGTGCCCTTGGCTCTGGGCATTGCGCCTAGGTTTGTCTGGCAGCACATCAGCCTGTGGCAACAACAGGGTGGCATTGGTGGGCCCGGGCTAGTCACTGGGCACCTGGGGCTGGGCCTAGGAATGTCACAAAGCAATTGGGGGTGTAGCACAGAATGCTATCTGCATGTGGACCTAGAAATATCAGTGGGTACTGGGGAATGTCCCACACTCAGGAACCATCCCATTACATCAGAGCCAAGGGAACACCGGCAAACCCTGAAAAACTCGTGGGGTGGGTGGAATATTATGTAGGGTAGGGATTTTCTGCCAGAACATCAGTATGACAATAAAACAACATACCTTCCATCCAAGGATCTCAAAGCACTTGGTGAATTAAGCCTCACTAGACAGCTCACATGGGGAAGCTGAGGTTAAGAGGCTTGCCCAGAGGCACACAACAAGTTTGTGGCATCAGCATAGCTTGTTTGTCAAGACACTTCTTAGCTATTCAAAGAAGATTTAATAGTCCTGAAGCGCAGATTACTCTGCCTTTACACAGAAGTGTTACTGCCTTCTACTTTGAAGTGTATTTAATCAGAGAACGAGACAATAACAAAAGTGCTCAATCAAGAATCTGCAAAATATGGATTCTTGGAGAAAAAAAGCCCCAGGTATATACCCCCCTCCCCTCCAATCACAGAACACATGTACACAGGGGTTCTCTCTTGTAGTGCAGCTGGCCTGTTAAGTGATCATCAGCAATACATAGGGCCCTACTAAATTCATGGTCCACTTTGGTCAAGTTCACGGTCACAGGATTTTAAAAATTTCATTATTTCAGCTATTTAAATCTGAAATTTCATGGTGTTGTAATTGTAGGGATCCTGACCCAAAAAAGAGTTGTGGGGGGTGGAGTCACAAGGTTATTGTAGGGGGAGATTGCAGTATTGCCACCCTTCTTCTGCGCTGCTGGTGGTGGTGGCACTGCCTTCAGAGTTGGGTAGCAGTGGCTGCTGGCAGGGAGCTCAGCTCCGAAGGCAGAGCCACCGCCGCCAGCAGCAGCACAAAAGTAAGGATGGCGTGGTATAGTATTGCCATCTTTACTTTTGTGCTGCTGTCTGCAGAGTTAGGCCTTCAGCAGCTGCCACTCTCCAGCTACCCAACTCTGAAGGTAGCAGCGCAGAAGTAAGGTGGCATGGTATGGTATTGCCACCCTTACTTCTGTGTTGCTGCTGGCAGGTTGCTGTCTTCAGAGCTGGGCATCTGGACAATAGCCGCCCAGCTCTGAAGGCAGTGCAGAAGTAAGGGTGGCAATACTGCAATCCCCCTGCAACTCGCTTTTGGGTTAAGACCCCCAATATGAGAAACAATGGTCTCCCCTGTGAAATTTGCATAGTATAGGGTAAAAGCACACGAAAGACCAAATTTCACTGGGGAAGACCAGATTTCATGGTCTCTGACGCGTTTTTCAGGGCCATCAATTTGGTAGGGCCCTAGCAATACAGTTCTGTTCTCAATGTGTTACAATTTCCCAACATGATTCACTCCTCCATTATTTAACAGGCAGCCCTGCCTATTCACTGCAGATTAAAACAACCCTCCTCCAAAATAGGGTTAATGTTGGAAGCAGGAGGTAAATCTTTAGTCCAACAGCTAATACTGCTGTGTGGGGAAGGTTGTATGCTCTTCTGGGAAACAGAGTGCTGATGCTTCACTGACAATTAGCGGCACAAAACGATCCGGAGAACTAACAGATCACTTGCTTGTACCACATCCTATTACTCCTCCCTTTCCCTCTCTCCTAACAGCCAGTTTCTAGCCAAACCTCTCACACTAACATTTCTAAAATCTGCTTTTTCCTTTCTGTCCCTACTACCAAAATCTTGGTTCACACCATTGTTGTATCTTGCCTGGATACCTAATCTCTTCCTTTCCAGTGTCCATTATTTTCTCCTCTCCAATCTATCCAGCATTCAGTAGCTCAAATATACTTGCTTTCCCACCTCTCTGGTAATATCACCCCCAGAGTACCTTCATCAAGTTCCTGTCTCTTTTTGTGTCAAGATCAAAATCATCTTCACTTATGGTTCTGCACAGCTCTGCGCCCTGCCCATGTTTCATCTTTTGCCTCCTATTGTTTCCTGCCTTGCCCCTATACAGTATCCCTCTTCCTGGGTATCAGGCATCTTTGCCATCCTCCCTCCTCAGAACACATAGCATTTGCCTTGCTGTGTACTCTCTACTCCTGTACTCTCTACTCTTCCCTTTATCCTGTCTCACTCAGTCTCTACTTAAAAGCATCAGAAGTTATGAGAGTCATTTGCTGTATAATAATCAACCCTCATCTCTCCTTTTTCCACCCCCCCTCTCCACTATCTAACTTCATGGTCTATGCTTGTCTAATTTAGATGGAAAATTCTTTGTGGCAGAATTATGGCACTGCATAAATGTTTATTAATCATAACAATGCAGGAGGACAAACCTCCAGCAGTTTCCATCACTATTGCATCTGTTCTAGTTTGCAAAGCCCTCTTCAGCTTGATCGGTGAGCTACACCACCCAACCAGCTGGCTTACAAAGCATCTCTGTTTTTTGTGTTGATTTTGTATCTTTCTTGGTAATTTTCTCGGTGAGGTGGACTCTGCTTCAATACACATAGGTCTCTGTTTTTATGGTGCTGGTACCATATACAGTTCTCATAACTACTGAACTGTTTTAAAAATCAAACAAAAATAAGTGGGAAAAAGAAACACATATCTCTTTTGAGTAGTATGAATCTGACTAAAGGATGGGAAATCATCATTTTAGATATTAAATAGTATAAACGTCCTGCCTAGCTTAGGATAGCAAGAATTCAAATAATAATTAAAAAAATCAGTAATTGTAACCTCTGTGGGCAGGGACCATCTTTTTTGTTCTGTGTTTTGTACAGTGCCTAGCACAGTGGGGTCCTGGTCCATGACTTGGCCCCCAACCGCTACAATGATACAAATAATAATAATGTTTGTTTATGAAGTGCCATCTCAACCTCTAGGTTGTAAAACATAAGTTCTGTACAACATAGTACAAAGAAATTAATCAAAAACAGCCCTCTTAAAAGTCAAACATAAACAAGAGAGTAGATTTTTTATAAGGAGATGGGAGGGACAGATAATACATACGGACAGGCCTTGTGTCCTTTTGTTTTTTGAACACCCACATGAACTCTTTTGGGAAAAGTTTTTTGGTGTTTCTAAATGCATAAAAAGATGGACTAAGATTAATATCTGGTGCAAATAGAATCCCATCCTAGGGGAGGCCTTAGAACAAAAGCACAGCCTCCTGCTGATTTAAGACCTGCTGGTGATATATCGGTAAAGGCAGGTAGCATACGAGCACAGAAGCCCACCAGGACAAAGCTAGAGGCTTTACAAACAAGAAGCATACAAAGATTGTTTCAAGTACAGAAACTTAATTTTATTAGGAATTAGGAATAAAATTAACGCAGCATTATAATCTCTCCTACCCTTCCTTCTATATGGCTGCCAAAACTGCTACAATAAGAACAAGACTCCAAATAAGGAAAAGATGTATAATATATTTTTTAAAGGTATAATCCTGATAAAACCAGTTCTGAATGATGGAAATATCAGTGGTTAACTGCTGGTTTATGAGTAGTTTTCTTTTACCAACCCCACCCTAACAGAAAAAGATGGTGGTTGGGTATCCAATGGTCAAGTACCAGTGTATTATAATAAAACCACTCACTTACTTACTTTTTGACTATAATCACTTCCTAAGATACCTTTCTGATAATGGTCCTTAAAATATGGTTCTACTCTGAAAAGTGACTGTAAAAATGGTACCTTCTTACTCAATAAATCTGTTCACTGTCATTATTTCAAGTCATATCTGCTTACCGACAATAGTAAGTTTTTACTATTTTATACACTTGCTGCCACTGCTTACACACAACTATGGGAGAGAGAGCTGGAATCCATTCTGGCTCATGCATCATCAACCAAACTGTTAATTACATGTCAACTGCAGAAGCTTTAATACTGGTGAAGATGTGTAACCCTGAAAGAACTCAGTTTGACTTTCAGATCTCAGATGGAGTTTACAGAGCTGGCAGTTAGGAGGAAAATACCTATATTTTTACTCCTAAACTAAGTGAATAGGATCTGAAAAATTATTAACAAACTATCAACTTGTAACCACATGATACCATTTTTAGAGTTACTTTTCAGAGTCTCACCCCATGTTAATTGCTTCTGAGCTATTTTATTTCTTATATTATACATGAGAGTTATTTTTCATAAAGCAGATGAACTAGGCTGATTAATGTATTATATGTTACATCAAGGAACTGAATATAACCAACACATCATAAAAGGGGAATTAATTCCCATGGCCTTCTATCTAGGGGTTCTCCTTTCCCCCCCATGCCATTGAGGGGTTTAATTTCTCCAGACCACCTGATGATCCACTATATCAGCAGGAGTTTGGACGTTTGGAATGTTTCATTAGTGAATGAGGGCCAAGACCATGATGTTCACCCATCTCCTGACTGAACAGAAGAGACCGTAGATCAGAGAAGAGGAAGTGCTCAGAACGATGGATTACCAAAGCCAACCATTCGCTGTACCTCATGGATTTCCTGGAGCAGTTCCTCATTCTTCAGCTCTAACTGTATGGAAAAGAAGAGGATCAAACAGGGACACATGAACAAGTCTTAAAGCACCTAAGATACAACTTCCTAGAATACTTTGGGCCATGAAGGAGGATTCAACCAATTAATCCCACTTAGAGACTGTAAAGAAAATAGAAATAGCCTCTTTGTCATTGTACCAAATATTTCCCTACTGCTGGTATCAGAAGTGATATCATATGCCAGCAAGATAATAGCAGCTGACAGCAGAAGCCTCAGAAATGTCACCTTTAATTAAGTATCTTATTTTCAAATATAATTCAAACCTGAAAAAGGGCAAGTACTTCTCACTATATGAATATTCAGAACCCTCTGCTGAGAAAAATAGATGACTTCCTTTTTAATTGACATCAGACCATGAGCCGACCTCTTCATCCTGCTTTTTTTCCCCAAACTAGAAGAGATGAGAAAAATACAAACCTTCATTGCGTATTTGTAAGACTGCTCTGCCTCCAACTGCCTTCCTCCCTGAAAAACACCAGTAGCCTGTGAGAAGCTTGTTTGATAGGATAAAATCAGGTGTTTCAGCTACTGTCAAGAGACACATTTTAACAAGGCTGGATGACAGGAATACCTCAGCTGTGGAATATTTAGTAGGAGAAAGGGTAATGAGAAACAAAGGGGAAGATTGTTTCTTTTGGCATTAAAATGCTTCCACATTTGTGTGTTTCCAGAGAACAAACCCCAAACCTATCTATCTTTACCAATGAGGCACCTTTGAGACATATAGATAGACATTGATGTAGATAAAGCAGAACATGTTTCATCACATTTGATGTTGAGATAAGACACTCACTTGCATGCAGACTAGCGCTAGATATGCCCACACTTCGGCATTGTTGTTATTCAGGGCATTGGCCTCAGAGAGGGCATCTTCTGCCTCCGCAATTTCTTTCAGCTTTATAGAGAGAGAGAAAGAGATGAGCAAAAACTGAACCGCAGGTGAAGTATTGCTCAGAGTTTAACACACACCTGGTATACGACAGCTGAAGAAATCAGTGTGAAAAAACCTTCAGAAATGATCCTCACTTTAGGCTCCTCTGAATTATACAATAATAATGACACAATGTAACAAATTTAGAGCAGAGAGAGTGAGACAACTGCAATGTCAGACTCTCCTGCTCTCCTGACTGGAGGGAAAGCCCCTCATCACTGACTCAGACACTACCGAAGAGCCCAGTCCTCTTACAAATTACCCATGGACTATTCTCACTGAAGAAAGCAACAATCACTCTTTCACCGCCATGTGTCTAGAGTTTAGAAACTACTGGGGAACCCTTACGATGGTTGAGGAGGAAAGTAGAGTCACCCTGACCTCTCCCATTCACTTTCTTCAGATGAGGGAACCTTGCAAAGCAGCCCCTTGGGAGATGCTACACTCTTTATGGCTGCAGGGATCTCAGGTCTGTGTCTCTGTCTTTATTAAACCATTCTGAAAATCCTCACATCTTTAATAAAGAAAGGGTTATTCTTGGTAGCCCTTCCCATCTGCTGACTTGCCTACATTCCTTCCAATGGGGAAAGCAATGTGAGTCAAAAGAAAAAGGATCCTTCCTGTTGACACTTAGGTTGCACACAGGTAGGTGCTCATTTAGAATGGAGTCCAGCACAGTGATTGCATGCCTATGTGACAATGTACTGAGTGTGTCTCTGGGAGCCCTCTAATACCAACTGGTAGAGTGCATGTTATACTGTAATCAGAGGTGAAAGTAAGCTGTAAGTAATACTAATCTATTAGAGTTCTTTGAAGGGGTCAACAAACATGTGGACAAGGGGAATCCAGTGGACATAGTGTACTTAGATTTCCAGAAAGCCTTTGACAAGGTCCCTCACCAAAGGCTCTTACGTAAATTAAGCTGTCATGGGATAAAAGGGAAGGTCCTTTCATGGATTGAGAACTGGTTAAAAGACCGGGAACAAAGGGTAGGAATTAATGGTAAATTCTCAGAATGGAGAGGGGTAACTAGTGGTGTTCCCCAAGGGTCAGTCCTCGGACCAATCCTATTCAACTTATTCATAAATGATCTGGAGAATGGGGTAAACAGTGAGGTGGCAAAGTTTGCAGATGATACTAAACTGCTCAAGATAGTTAAGACCAAAGCAGACTGTGACGAACTTCAAAAAGATCTCACAAAACTAAGTGATTGGGCAACAAAATGGCAAATGAAATTTAATGTGGATAAATGTAAAGTAATGCACATTGGAAAAAATAACCCCAACTATACATACAATATGATGGGGGCTAATTTAGCTACAACAAGTCAGGAAAAAGATCTTGGAGTCATTGTGGATAGTTCTCTGAAGATGTCCACGCAGTGTGCAGAGGCGGTCAAAAAAGCAAACAGGATGTTAGGAATCATTAAAAAGGGGATAGAGAATAAAACTGAGAATATATTATTGCCCTTATATAAATTGATGGTACGCCCACATCTCGAATACTGCGTACAGATGTGGTCTCCTCATCTCAAAAAAGATATACTGGCACTAGAAAAGGTTCAGAAAAGGGCAACTAAAATGATTAGGGGTTTGGAATGGGTCCCATATGAGGAGAGATTAAAGAGGCTAGGACTCTTCAGCTTGGAAAAGAGGAGACTAAGGGGGGATATGATAGAGGTATATAAAATCATGAGTGATGTGGAGAAAGTGGATAAGGAAAAGTTATTTACTTATTCCCATAATACAAGAACTAGGGGTCACCAAATGAAATTAATAGGCAGCAGGTTTAAAACAAATAAAAGGAAATTCTTCTTCACGCAGCGCAGAGTCAACTTGTGGAACTCCTTACCTGAGGAGGTTGTGAAGGCTAGGACTATAACAGCATTTAAGAGAGAACTGGATAAATTCATGGTGGTTAAGTCCATTAATGGCTATTAGCCAGGATGGGTAAGGAATGGTGTCCCTAGCCTCTGTTTGTCAGAGGATGGAGATGGATAGCAGGAGAGAGATCACTTGATCATTGCCTGTTAGGTCCACTCCCTCTGGGGCACCTGGCATTGGCCACTGTCGGTAGACGGATACTGGGCTAGATGGACCTTTGGTCTGACCCGGTACGGCTGTTCTTATGGTCTTATGGTACGCCCTGGTATGGCGTACCGGCAAGAACCGGTTTGCTGTACCGGGGTGGCCCGGCTTCCCCAGGGGAGCAATTTAAAGGGCCTGGGGCTCCCAGCAGAGGCTGGAGCCCCAGGCCCTTTAAATTGCCACCAGAGCCCCACTGTTGGAGCCCTGGGGTAGGGCTGCGAGGCCCTGGGACCTGTTTAAAAAGTCCGGGGCTCCCGCTGTAGCAGTAGCACCAAGAGTAGCGGGGGGCTCCAGCTGTCTCTGCCGCCCTGCTCCTTTAAATAGCCACGGGAGCCCCGCTGCTTCCCCAGGGCTCCCACAGCTATTTAAAGGGCCGGGGCAGTAGAAGCAAGGGAGCCCCGGGCCCTTTAAATAGCCCCCGGAGCCCCGGGCTGCTGCTGCTACCCCGGTGGGGGGGGGGCACTTACCTTACAGGGTGGGCTGTGGCTGGCTCTGACTCTCTCAGCCAGACCCCTTCCACTCTAGGCCCCGCCCCTTCTGGAGGCCAGAGCTGGCCCCAGCGTACCGGTAAGTCACTGGACTTACTTTCACCCCTGACTGTAATTCACAGCAGGTCTGACACACTCAGTGCCCCAACACATTGTTGTCATAACTTGTATCTAATAGGTGTTACGTAAGGTATCTTATGCAAACTGGTAACACGCTGGTCCCCAAAATCATTGCATGGTGTGTGTATGAATGTATACAAAGAGTTATTGATGTGTGCTGGAAATATGTTCTTAAGATATGTTTGGGAGGCAGCACATAAGCCCAGCCTTCCCTAGACAAAGGAATGTGTATTTATTTGTCTGACCAGCTTGATCACAAGCAGAGGACAATGCAAATATGTTTATATATACGCTGAACAAAGCCATCAAGCTAACAAGAAGTGGAGGAGACTGCTTAACGATCATGATGGGGGATGGAATCTGCACCCCAGAAAGCCTTCCTGGCTCCAGAGACAATGAACTTTAGGGGATACAAAGACAAGCAAAATCCCATTTTGTTTATCCATCACTGAGGGGACTTAGTGTTCAGTACCTTCCAAGCCTCTGAAAGCTGGATTTGCTTGGCCTGAAAGGCAAGAGTCACTAGAAACTAACTACAGGTGTCTAACATTTGTTTTTTTAATTATCTAGTATCTAGACAAAGATAGTAACTTGTGAAATTAAGTTTTAGTCACTTGAAAGTGTGCTGTGTTTGGTTTTAATTGTAATCATACCTGTTTCTTTTATTCTTACTCGTTAACACTTATCTCTTTTCTTTGTTAATAAACTTATTCTTGTTTTATTACAAAACCATCTCAGTGCTGTGTATTATAGTAAAGGGTAAGTCTTGAGCTAACCTAACAGGCTGGTGTGTGTTCTGTCTCTTTGGAGGCAGCAAACTTGCCTTCTCACTGGACACTCTCAGAAGTTCTGGACATCACAGAGAGATGTTTCTGGGGAACTTGGGAATTGGGGTTCATTGACTGTTACCGGCAAGGCAAAGTTTGGACTGGCAGAATCCTGGAGAGTTTGCTGGGAAGGCAGATGAGCTAGTGTCAGAGAGCAAAGCTCTCACTTGCTGAGACTGAGGGTTAAGACAGTGTCTCACAGATCTGGGTACCCCAAGCAGGACATCACACCGAGAAAAGAGATTCTAGTCCCAGGAGGAGTTAATTGCTATACAGTGATTGTCTGTTCTACAGCTGGTTAGAGTATTTTTTCTCTCACAAACTTTCCATTTTAGCATCAGTAAGTCTCATGCATGTGACCATGATGGCACCCACTGCAATGTGGCCTTTACCCTAAGAACAGCTTTAGAGAACTCTGGTCCCCCCAGATAGTTTGGATGAACAGCTTTTACCTAAGGAAAGAGGAACAGTGGAAAGTCAAGTCATAATCTCATCTTCCCAAGATCCATGCAATTGTCTAAAGACTGGCCAAGCATGGATGCTTTTCACTCTCTTACCCTGTAGCAGGCGATTCCTACTCCCAGCCAGGTCAGGCAGGATGAGGACTTCTTACAGGCCAGCATATAGGTGCGCTTTGCCTTATCATACTGCCAAGAGAAGAGATCAGTAAGTTGCTCTCTCTAATGTAATCATTCACTCTGCACCATGGCTGCTCTTCCTCCACAGGCACTCTGAAACCACCATATTTCCAACTGGGCTCATATAGGAGGGGACACTACCATCCAAATGCTGTTGGTTGTGGCCAAGAATCTACTCACATTTCCCATAGCAGGCAGTTCTGCCTGTATAGCCCCTGAGAGCCTCAGATTAACAAGCCAACAAGAAATGTTTAGCTCTCCGTATCTAGTGCTAGAAAAATTATTGGGGTTATTATTACAGCAGCACCCAAAGATTCTGATCAGGATTGGCGCTAGGCACTGTACACACAAAGAAGTAAAACAGATCTCTGCTCCAAAGAGTTGAGTTCATTAAAAGACTTAATTGTATTGTCTGATCTGCAGCTATGAAAATAAAAGTTGCAATTCACATTATTCATCCAGAATAGTTACTTTCCCTGCCTTGGTTTATCTCCCATTTTTAGATCCCATGTTCAGCTCCTCACCTCTTTCTCTTTCAGATAGATCGACCCCAGTCGCAGGTAAACAAAGTGTATCTCAGAAGCATCCGTTACAAAGCTGATGGTTCGCTCATAGCATTCCTTTGCCTCACTAAGATTTCCACTCAGGTAGCACAGGTGCCCTTTCTGTGCCCAAGCATTTGGATTCTATGTAAACAAACCCAGTAGTTAGACAAAGTGAGACAGGTAGGGCAAAGTGGACAAGAGATTAACTGGATAGCATCTAAGCTCAGAAGTAAGGGAGATGATGAAGGCTATTTGCTTACAGATATGTATTTTACATACAAGCAAGTTTGAGTTTGTAGCGAGGAGTACTTGCACAACAACTACTGCACCTAGCACAATGGGGGCCTAATCCGTGACAAATACAAATATTAAAAAACATTTAGCGATATTAGTTCTGCTGCTGTCTGCATGCTCCATTCAACTTGACATTCTCAAAAGATGCATCTCCCTTTCATCTGAATATCATAATTATATATATGAAATAGAGAAGTGCACATGTTCACACAGGGAGAAAGGAACATATTACTCCTGGGGACATTCTGCACTCAAATTAAAAATTCTGCACACAATATTTTAAATTCTGCAAATTTTATTTGTCAAAATAACACTGCAGAATCACGCCAGTTTCAATTATTTTTGTAATTTATTCAAAATACCTGTCAGCAAGTATGTCTGTAACAATGCAGACACACACACAAAAATCCCCCCCGGGGCAGAGAGTTAAAGAAACCCCTATGACAACCCAGCTCCTGTTTCTCTCTCCCCTTCCCCTCCATCCCCCGCAGAGCCCAGCCACCCACAACCCCTCCCCTTCACAGCCCAGCTGCGGGGACACCCCACAGCCAATACACCCAAACCCCCTCCCCCCACCCAGCCCAGCCATGGGTTCCCCCTAGCCCAGATACCTGCCGTCCTCCCCGCCAGAGCTCAGCCGTAGGGGCCCCCCCTTGCCCAGATACCCACTCCCCACCCCCCTGCAGCCTAGACACCTGCCCCTCTCGCCTAGGGTGACCAAACGTCCCAATAAAATTGGGACCGTCCCGATATTTAGGTGTTTGTCCCGCGTCCCGACCAGTCTTTGGTCAGGATGCAATTTGTCCCAATATTTCGCTCCGCCGGCAGCATTGGCTTGTTGGTTTTTTTGCTCCGTCGGCAGCACTCGGCTTTTTTTTTTTGCCCCCCGGGCGGCCCCCCCCCACCATGTGTCCCGATATTTTCTTCCTCTCATCTGGTCACCCTACCCTCGCCCCAGAGCCCAGGGATCCAGAGGGACAAACAGCCTGATGCTCGGTCCCAGGCTTGCATGGAGTTTCCTGCGCTGCCCTTTCCTTCCCACAGGCCGTTCTGAGAACTGCAGGGGTCAAGAACCCTTTAGCTCCCTCCCCCACCCCCGGCAGTGCCTTCAGTGTGCAAGCTGGGCTCTGCGGCCAGCAGCACTGCAGCCCATTTCTGTGGGGGAGAGAAAATTCTGCGTGCACAATGTTAATTTCTGCAAAATTCTGCATTGCACAGTGGTGCAGAATTCCCCCAACAGCAACGTATACACTGAGGGGAAAGAAAGACAGATCTACACAAAGAGGAGTCCTCCCCCTGATGTGTTGCCTCATGTAGAAGATCAACTAAAATGCAAAATAATGAACTAAATAAAGGGGAAGAGAAGTGAACCAGGCCAAATCCTGATGTTCTTACTCAACTTCTATGTAGTCCTTGCTTAGGCAAACTCCTACTGACTGCAACGGGAATTTGATTGAATAAAGATCGAGTCAAGACCTCAGGACCTGACCCATTGGAACGAACATAGCAGTGGATATGCTGTATTGTTCTGCAAAGCTCCTTGTGTTCTGAGAGAGCATGTTGACTGCTCAGGGCAGCATAGTGCTAAAAAACAGTTACCAGGTAGTCAATCTGGATAGCCTCTCGGAGACATTCTTCAGCCTTAGAGAAGTCCTTCTTGAGCAAGTGTGTTTGTGCCAGCACTAGGTAATACTCACAGCTGGGTCCTTCCTGCTGGCACAGTAGCTCATGTGCCAGTGCCCTGTGAACAAACTGAAAGAGAAAGCCACACACAGGCATTGTAACGAAACTAACACCAGCCATGAACATCCCAACCCCTGTTCTGCTCCCAGCATGGAGAAAAGGGATAACATGCAGCCTCCTCTGTGACAGACAACCAGAATGCTCACCATGCACTGTACCTATCGGAACACACAGGTAATGTCTCAAGATGACTTTACATGTTCCCTCAAGGCATCCTCTGATTTAATGAGAGCGTGTCTCATTAGCAGTTCAAACACTGGACAGATACATTTTTTCCTTTGAAATTTTAGCTTCCGTTGCTTTTAGTTGTCTTTGTTTGTTGTTAACACTCAGCAAATTTCCCATCCCTTCTCTGTCAAGTTAACGTCATACAGCACAATGTGGAAGTCACTGCATTCGAGGAGGCCCCTGTCAATACAGGCTAGGAGATAGTGGGGACAGAACTGAAAGAAAAGTTGCCAGACAAGAGGAGCTTGGAGTGCTGTTATGAAGGCAGCTTGTCTCTCTGACAACCCTCCAGTGGTTGCTCAGAGAGTAGCTCTGATCTAATGGACAAAGGTTGTCCAATGGACTGATACTGGTGCTGTTGGTCTTAACTTAAAAGGAGGACGAATGTGTGAGAGAGACAGAACCTGGATGAGGGGCACATACAAGCTGGCATTGGGACTGAGGAGGAGGTCTGGGCAATGCGTCTCCCAGGTGCCTCCATGGCCTCCCACTGCACACCTTTTCCTAGGGCTGCTGTTTGTATATTAGTTTGGAAAGGGTTTTGTGCTCCTTTGGGATATTAACATTGCATGAGGCAATATGGTAAGAAAGCATTGAATTGGGTACCTAAGAGAGGAAAGAGAAAATGAGGAAGGCAAAGGAAGAACTGACAGAAGATAGTGAATGTACTGGCATCACCTGGGAAGAAATATGTAGTGAGTGACCGTAATCAAAGGAGGAACTAGACTGCCCAATGCATCAGTGGTAGAGGAGTACTAAGGTCAAAGATGTATGCTTATCAGCAGCGGCTCCAGGCACCAGCGCTCCAAGCGCATGCCTGGGGCGGCAAGCCGCAGGGGGCGCCCTGCTGGTCCCTGCAAGGGCGGCAGTCAGGCCGCCTTCAGCGGCATGCCTGCGGGAGGTCTGCTGGTCCCACAGATTCGGCAGCAATTCGGCGGCAGGTACGCTGAAGCCGCGGGACCGGGGACCTCCCGCAGGCAAGCTGCCGAAGGCGGCCTGCCTGCCGTGCTTGAGGCGGCAAAAAAGCTAGAGCCGCCCCTCATGCTTATACATCAGAATGATGTGGACAGGTGAAAGTATATGGAACAATATATGTGCTGGGAGTCCTCTTCACAACTCTTTTAGGGAGAAGTTATTCTGTACTCCTAGGATTAAATGATGCATTGTAACGTATGGTGGCTATTGTGAAATCCAAGGTCACAGGGAGAGTTCCATCTGATGAAACCCACAAGGAGCCATTGTTTTGGAAGGGAGGCACTCCACATGCATGTGAAAGGTTACTCTGATGCACATAGAAGTGCGTGGATGGCTATTCTGATCCAAGAAGTGACCACCTGGTCTGTAGGATGCATCAAAATAATAGGTATTTCCTCTCAAAACTATCCTTGAAACAGCTCTTTTATGGACAAAAATTGGATTACTTGTTCTTCCTGCAACAAACCAGTGGTGGATTTGAACACTCCTATTACTTTGCCTAGCTAAGGTTATTTTTGGTGCATCTTAGGATCATTTCAGTTCTGAATTCTCTAAACAGCCATAGCTTGGCAGCACTTGACAATAATGTTGACTTGACTGATGTTCGATGAGTTGAGTCTGCATAGCCCACTCTTTAAACCCATAAAAACATCCTACTGGAAGCTGCCATGATCTCACTATTTTAATACCACAGGGAAGTAACTGTCACCCATGGAAATGAGTTCAAAATCCTAATGCCACCTTGCTTCCCCAGTTCATGCTGCACTGACCTGTAGAGCATTGACCTCCATCAAGAAGTGTATGGTCTCCATGAAGATTGTGTGGGAGGGCTGTGAAAGTCCAGGAAGGGGGACAGGGGCCACCGCATGTGATGGATCAAGTGCTCCTCCACTAGTTTTCTTCATTACTGAAATAATAGCGAGAGAGAGAGGCTCATAGGTGCTGAGAAGACCAGAGGTTCAGAATAACAGTGATAATCCAAAACCATATCATGTATTTGTTTATTATGTGAGCAGGATAGGCCACAGCTGACCTTAACTAGTCATTTCTTTGATTTTTTAAGTGCTTAAGTTTTGATAAATGATGCAAAAGGAAGCTACACCATTGTCACAAAGGGTATGTCTATACTACAATTAAAAACCTGGGGCTGGCCCATGACAGTTGACTCAGGATTTCGGGGCTTGGTTCAGGGGCTGTTTAATTGCAGTGTAGATAGTCGGGCTCTGGCTGGACCGTCTACAAGAAAATCCACTTTGCTGAAGATTCCTAACCTGGGTTGGAGAGCAAACCTTGCTGCTTTGTACCCTATCCTGATGAATTGAACAGCAAGTAAGCTAGCTTTTACGGACTATCTCCTGTATTATCTGTACTTAATCTCACCCCATCTTTGCCACTGGATGTAGTGAAGTCCCAACCCTCTGCCCCAGCACTGAAATCCACCCCTCTCTCTAAGCCACAGACCCCACTTTCTAACCTTTCTGGGACGTCTCCTTGTTCTTACTGAGAGTGGGGGAAAGTTTCTTGGTCAGTTTAACTGCAGGATCATCTTCAGGCAGCTGGATGGTTACAACAGGCTCTACAGAATCTGGCTGTACTTTCGGGGAGCCATCTGGAGCCTCATCTGGAACTAAACCCCACAATGGATTAAGTGCAATGAAAAGTTCTCCATAAATTGGTCACTTCTTAGCAAGATGCCGTACCTGAAAGAACTCAGAAAATTGCAGAACTAGCACAGTCCCAGGACTGCTGGGAAAATACTGCGCTGGATGCAAATCCCTGGGAATGGATTTTTGGTTACATTAATACCTTGAAAAGTTATAATGAAGTATCAATAAGGCCCTGTCTTCACTGGCAAGTTTCTGCGCAGTAAAGCAGCTTTCTGCGTTGTAACTCCCAAGGTGTACACACTGCCAAGCCACTTAGTGTGCAGAAACTGCGCAGTTGCAGCGCTATAAAAAAAACACCCTGACAAGAGGCGTAGAGCTTTCTGTGCTGGGGCTACAGCGCTGCAGTGCCAGTGTAGACACCATGGCAATTACAGCACTGCGATTGGCCTCTGGGAGGTGTCCCACAATGCCTGTTCTTGCCTCTCTGGTCATCAGTTTGAACTCTACTGCCCTGCCCTCAGGTGACCAACCGTCAGCCCCACCCAGTACATTCCTTTGCAAATTTGAAAGTCCCCTTCCTGTTTGCTTGGTGATGCATACAGTGGTCTCAGCGCATCTTTCCAGGTGGCCATGCCTGCTGCACGCACCAGGCGATCCCCCGCTTTGACAATGCTGAGCTACTGGACCTCATTGGCATTTGGGGAGAGGAAGCTGTGCAGTCCCAGCTTCGCTCCAGCCATAGGAATTATGATACCTATGGACAGATTTCACGATGCATGACAGAAAGGGGCCATGACCGGGACTCACTGCAGTATAGGTAAAAGTGAAGGAGCTCCAGAATGCCTGCCACAAGGCCCGAGAGGCAAACCGCCGCTCCGGTGCTGCGCCCACAAGCTGCCGGTTCTACAAAGAGCTGGACGAGATACTCGGTGGCGACCCCACCTCCACTTCAAAGGCCCCTGTGGATACTTTGTTGCCTCATGTGCCAGTCAAGAGTGGACCGAGCCAGGAGGAGGAAATCTTGGACGAAGAGGGGGAGGGGGACCCAGAGGCAGAAGATGTCTCAGAGGCCAGAGATGCATGAAGTCAGGAGTTCTTTTCTACCCCGGAAGAGCCTAGACAGTCACAGCAGTCGGAGCTTGGCAAAATGCAAACAGGAGAGGAATCCCTGGTAAGTGGATCTGATTTTGGGAATTGATGAAGCGAGTTGTTGGGGGCAGGAGGGTTGCAGGAAGCAGGCTTGTCTCCCACCGCATGCCTAATCTGAGCAGCGGAACAGGCTGTTGATAGACTCCCTCACTTCATGGGAATCTCCCTCAGAGATCTCCAGGAAACTCTCATGGAGATACTGGGCAATCCGCTACTGCAGGTTGCTCGGCAGAGCTGCTTTGTTTCTTGCCCCATTAATGGTAACTTCCCCACGCCACTTTGCCATCACGGGGGGGACCATTGCTGCACACAGGTGAGCTGCACAGGGGCCAGGGCAGAAGCCGCAGACTTGGAGAAGACCCTCCCTTGATTCCCTGCTCACACTCAGCAGCGAGATATCTTCCATAATGATCACATCCTGTGGAAAGTGTGGGGACAGTAATGATTATTAGACCCCCCCTACAGTGCTGGTTCTACCCAAGAGCCACGTGCCCAGTGTACAACAGGGTCCAGGAAGAGTGATTTACCCTGCCCCTGTGGCTACTCACGATTTTGGGGGTCTTGTGGCTCATGTGTGCTTGCCTGGGGTCAGCCAGTTAGTGACAGGTGTGTGAGTACTGGCTGTTTTAAAGCACTGAATCACTGTTGTCTGTGTTGCAAACAATACTGCTTCTGTAAAATGTTGCATTTAAACTTCACAGAGATGACCTTGGGAGACCAGTCTCCCTTATCGGCGGCAGAACAGCTGCGCAGAATTAGAAAGTGGCCAAGAACTAAGGAGGACTTTCTGTGTGAGGTTATGATGCACTCGGCCGCCGAGAAACAGGAATTGAAGAAGTGGCAGCACAGCGAGAAGAAGGACCGACGGGAGAACGCGGCACACAAAAAAGAAGCCACAGAGCGGCTCCTAACAGTTATGGAGCGCCAAGTGGACACGTTCCAACCAATACTAGCTCTGCAAACCGAGCAGCTCCGCGCCCGCCCTCCCCTAAAGCCACTGTCGCAAAACTCTTTCCCATGCGCCCCCCTCACACACTGCCAACACACTGTTATCAACCTGGCTCCACTCTCTACTCGCAGCATTCCACTCCTCCCTCCTCACAGTCCAGCAGTTTGGACTCCCACTACCCACTGCACTCAACACCCAGCCCTCTGCAGCTTGGCCCTGCTGAAGTACAGCACCCGCTGCATTGTACTCCAAAGGAAAAGGTTGGGTATGATCCCTGGACATACACAAATCTGTAGCCATCCTGGGACCCCTCCTCCTCTTGAAAACTTCCCCTCCCACTCCTTGCTGATGAATTTTTTCGTTTGACTCTCTCCTTCGGTTGTTGTCTTTTAATAAAAGAATTGTGTTTCTTTGAAAGCAATCTTTATTCTATTAAGTGACAGCAAAAATAGCACTGCAAAGCAACATACAATAATGTTAAGGCCCCTGCTTGCATCAGGTGCACTAATCACCTCCTAGCATTACAAGCACTGCAATCCTGAGCATAGCAACAAAAATTAGTGTCTTTCATCTTCAAATTGCTGCCTCAAGGCCCCGTGCGGTGCCCTTCTAATAGCCCTGGTCTCTGGCTGTTCAAACTCAGCCTCCGCGATCCAGCCCTGAGTGAAGCTTTCACCCTTCCCTTCACAAATATTATGGAGCATACAGCACACGGCTATAAGCATAGGAATATTGTCATTGCCATGTCCAGCTTCCCATAGAGGCAGCGCCAGCGGGCTTTTAAATGGCCAAATGCACACTCCACAGTCATTCTGCACTTGCTCAGCCTGTTGTTGAACCACTCCTTGCTGCTATCAAGTTACCCCCTGTATGGCTTCATGAGCCACGGCATTAAGGGGTAGGCAGGGTCTCCCAGGATCACAATGGGCATTTCGACTTCCCCTATGGTGAGCTTCTGGTCCGGGAAGAAAGTCCCTGCTTGCAGCTTCTTGAACAGGCCAGTGTTCCAAAAGATGCATTCATCATGCACCTTTCTGGACCAGCCTGCGTTAATATCTCTAAAATGCCCACGGTGATCCACAAGCGCCTGGAGAACCATTGAGAAATACCCCTTGCAATGAATGTACTCGGTGGCTAGGTGGTCTGGTGCCAGAATTGGAATGTGCGTGCCATCTATCGCCCCTCCGCAGTTAGGGAAGCCCACTTGTATAAAGCCATCCATAATGTCACGCAATGTCATGCCCAGAGTCACGGTCTTTCGGAGCAGGATGCGATTAATGGCCCTGCACACTTCCATCCACACGACTCCAACGGTCGACTTTCCCACTCCAAACTGGTTAGCAACCGATCGGTAGCAGTCTGGAGTAGCCAGCTTCCACAGTGCTATCGCCACGCGCTTCTCCAGTGACAGGGCAGCTCTCAATCTCATGTCCTTGCACTGCAGGGCCATGGTGAGCTCATCACACAGTCCCATGAATGTGGCTTTCCTCATGCAAAAGTTCTGCAGCCACTACTCGTCATCCCAGACATTCATCACAATTCAATCCCGAGCCCAAAAGCAGCGTTCCACCTCCGTGAATGCCACAAACAATCTCCTGTCATAGCTATTACGCGTGGTGAGATCAATGTCGCACTCTTCTTGCCTTTGTAGTTTAAGGAATAACTCCACTTCCACTCGTGACGTGTTGGTCAGAGCGAGCAGCATACTGGTCAGCAGTTCGGGATCCATTCCTGCAATCTGAAAGAGGCAGGGCGCACAGTACACAAACTGTTGAAAGAGGGCGCCAAATGTGGACGGAAGCACAGGGATTGATGAGATGCGAAGCAATGCATCACGGGGCATTGGAATTGGACCCAGGATGCCCCGCAACCCTCTCTGCTTTCCCACATGTCTTAGCGGCAAAAGAGAAAGAGATACTCTGTGGGATAGCTGCCCAGAGTGCACCGCTCTGAATAGCGCTGCAAGTGCCGCAAGTGTGAACACACTATTGCGCAGGCAGCTGTCAGTGTGAACACACAACAGCGGTTTCCCTTCTGCGCTCTCTGAGCAGCGCTGTAACTGCCGGCGCTGTAACTTTGCAAGTGTAGACGTGCCCTTAGAAGAGAGAGCTAGAGCTTTCAGGTCTGGTGTTGGCAGGCTTGGGGGTGGTAAGCTAAGAAGCTGCTCCTTTTGTTCTCGGTTCCCTCTGTGGTCAGAGAAACAGGACTTTGCATATTCTTTTTAAATAAACAAGATTACAATAAGAATATACCAAACTCCATCAATTTCTACTTCCAACTGGAACATCCCCAGTGACCCCACTTTGATTGACTGCTTGGGTCAAAAGAGCCAACATTAATTTTCCTCTCATGCCTTTCACTGGACATCATCCCTCCACATTAAATCTGAGTGCCCTTCTCGCCAGTCTCTGATTGGCTGCTGGCTACACTGCTGACTTACCTAGTAGCGTGTCTTCCTGGGGAGAAGTGACAGTTCTTAGAACTGTGGCAGAGAGAGTGTGTAGCTTTTTTCCTCCTCCTTCAGCAGCTTCAGCGATATTTTTCTCTTTGGCCAGTCGTGCCTTCAGTAGTTTGTTAGCCTCATGGAAGGCCATCTCCACCCGAATATCATTTTCCTGTATTTCATAGAACAAACCTGAGTGGGGACAAAAGAATTGCACAATGAGGAGTTGTTGCACCTATTTCCCTCTGTTCTGTTGGGTTCCATACTCCTGCTCTTACAGAACCAGAGCAAGCAATGGGGATCAGGACCAAAATAAGGAGCAAAACCAAAGGTCTACAGAGTTTATCAAAGGTACATATTCAGTTGATTTCATACCTAAGAGAGTCCAGGACAGGATGCTGGATGGCTCCAAGCAGGTGGCATCCTCAAAGAAGATTTCTGCCTCTTCATAGTGCTCCATCATGACAGCTATGATACCACACAGCAGCAAACTAGAGATGGTGTCAAACAGGTTACCCACAAAAACTCACAACTGATTAAATCAGTGACATTAAACAGACCCCTCTCCCTGCCATCCCTCCTAGCCAGAACCAGCAGTACCTGTGCAGGTGACTTGGATTCAGAGAAAGAGCTTCACGAAAACACTCCTGGGCTTTGATATTTTCCTCCATCAGGAGGCAGAATGCCCCATAATCTAGCCAGTGCTGGACAATCTGGCGGTCACGAGCCAGCCTCTAGGTATAAGATACCATTGCTACAGTTAGGATCCCTGGAGTTTTAGCTGATGCAGAAGAAGTTCAGAATGAGGGGTTCCAGTTTTATGCTAATCTCCCTTTCTGTATCTTCACCCCAACATTTGGCTGCCAACTGTCAGCCTTTATTTGCTATGAGCTAGAGTTTCTCCTAAGCGGGGATCATGACCAGTATCAACCTTCAGTCTACCCACCTTCAGTCTTTTTGCCTCCTTCACCTGGCAGTAAGGAGCAGAGAGTTTTTCATCTTTAGCCAGTCTTCTTGTTGCTTTTCCTTCTAGCTCTCCTTCCCCTCTTGTTAGGTGACATAATCTTCCAATTCTCACTCTAGCTGCCTTTTGTGACAGCTCATCAGATCCGTTCTTTTCCCCTCCCCATCAGGATGAAAGCCCACAATGACATGGTCAGCCTCTGTCATGCTTCAGCCTGAGATAAGCCTTATCTGACAAACAACTCTCAATGGTAAGTGCTAAGCCTACTGAGCTGCATCATCCTTCCTTCACTGTGCCCAGCCTACAGTGGAGTTACAGTAAGAAGCTTGAGGTCTTCATTGATTTCAGCCCCACTGTCATCCCTATAACATACTGTGTGCCAAACAATGTGCCTGGAGAGAGGGAAGGGAAGGGAGAAGCTCCCTTACCTCCTGATAGTAGACAGATGCCAGAGCATAGTCCTCATTGACTTCGGCTTCATGAGCAAAGAGTCGCAGCTGCTCACAGCTTGTGAAGGTGGGTGAGGCAACGACAGTACTCTCCTGTGACAGTATCTGTTAAGAGACAAGGACATAGGAGATAAAATGAAGTCAAATCAGCACACAGAAGTTTGGCAAGGATGAACTAGGTCATTCTGTGGCATCACTGTGCAAATCCAGTGTGATATAAAATGCAATACATTATAGGCTGGGCGACAAATTATAAATCATTCTGACTATTGATGGCAAATGGGACTCACTCCTGCATCTCTCTTATCTGTACCTCACTATCAGGTATGTAAAATCATGGACTTTGAGCTACCTTCATCACATAAGCGAGGTGTCTTCCCCATTATTTACACCTGTGGTCTACTGGTATCAGAAGGTCTCAATCTTAAAAACCAAAGAAACATCTAAGGACTTCCAGATGGACCAAGAATATTGCAAGCTTCCTACTCTACTAATTTGTGTAATGTCACCAGTGTGGCTCTTTGATACACAATGAAAGATCTGTATCATATATATGAGTCTGCTAGCTGACATCTCCTCATCCACCCCTAACATGCATCAACCCAAAGACACCTCATACACATACATATTCTATGGCTATGGGCAGGGGTGAAAGTAACGTAAAGGACTGACCGGTACGTCAGAGTCCTGAGCGGGGTGTGGCCTCAACTGGAAGAGGTGGGGCCTTTCAAGATTTAAAGGCCCTGGGGCTCCGTCTGTGGCTGGGAGCCCCAGGGCCTTTAAATCACCCTGGAGCTACCAGCTGCAGAGGCGGCTGGGAGCCCCGGAGCGAATTAAAGGGCCCGGGGCTCCGGCTGCCGCGGAGCTCCGGGCCCTTTAAATCACCGCGGGAGCCCTGCCACCACTACCCCGGGGCGGCAGGGCTCGGGCTAGGGCTGGGGTAGCGGTGGCAGGGCTCCAGAGGCGATTTAAAGGGCCCGGGGCTCCAGCCGCTGTGGGGAGACCCGGGCCCTTTAAATCCCCGCTGGAGCCCGGCTGCCGGGGCCCCGGGGCTCCGGCAGCCAGGCTCGAGCAGGGATTTAAAGGTCCTGGTGCTCCTGCCACTGCGGGGAGCCCCGGTCCCTTTAAAGCGCCGCCGGAGCTCCGGCAACGGGGCTCAGGCGGCGGTTAAAGGGACCGGGGCTCCCCACAGAGGCCGGAGCTCCGGGCCCTTTAAATCCCCACCCAAGCCTGGCTGCTGGAGCTCCGGCGGTGATTTAAAGGGCCCGGGGCTTCCCGCAGCAGCTGGAGCCCTGGGCCCTTTAAATCACCGCTGGAGAAGCTGGTCCAGTCCGGCACGGCGTACCAGCTCTTGCCGGGTACGCCGTACCGGACTGTACCGGCTTACTTTCACCTCTGGCTATGGGACCATAGAAATACTGAGATAGTGTAGATTAAAAATGTTTCTGACAATGTTTCGGGGGCTGCATGTTAGGCTAATTGTAGTAATTGCATATTCAGAGCTTGATCCTGCCCCCACTGATTTCCAAGAAAGCCGTATTAGGCCTCAGCTCCATAGTGAAATAAATACACGCCAAGTCACACTTGACAATGTTCTTACTATGTGATTGGGTGTCTGCCTACCTGATTTAAAGCAACGTGCATCTGATCCACCAGGTATACATACAGCTCACTCAGGAAAGCTTGTAGCTGCTCCAGGTTGTTGAATGCTGTTGTCCTCAAGTACTTCTCTCTCACAATCTTCACCACTGCATGCTGCAGAGAACATAAAACAACTACTTGAAAATAGGGCCCCACCCTTCAACCTACCACTTTCCTCTGTGGCAGCAGCAGAGAGCCAAAAAACACCAACTTCATTTAGCCTGAACCCATAACATGTATTTAATGAAAGAAGGCCATGTACAGCACTGATTAAGGGGATGGGTGAATGCAGCTGAATTCCACTTTCAGCCTAGCTGAGTATGGTCCCTCTTGGACAGACCCAAGTCCATTGGTGGAGCAGTCCATGGTGGAGCATTGGATAAATACACATGGAGACTGAATTCTGCTCTTACCCCCAGAAAGGGCAGTTCCTCCAACGGCTGGGGTCAATTGGCAGAGTGGTACAAGCATAGGCCAAGACTAACTAAATCAAAGAAGTGAACTCTTTTTTCATCTTAGTAGGATGGTTCAGGTCCAGAATTGTACACAGAGGATTACTGCATGTGGAAAGCTGATTATCCATCCCTTCCTTTAGCTCGAAACTAAACTAAACCTGCCTAGAAATGTGGTGCGAACACATGCCATTTGTGACTCCGTGCTTGGAGCTGTACCCCACTGACAGAAAAGATTCTCCTGACATGCAACCAGCGGCGTATTATCGCCTAGGCCAGGGGTCGGCAACCTTTCAGAAGTGGTGTGCCGAGTCTTCATTTATTCACTCTAATTTAGGGTTTCACATGCCAGTAATACATTTTAACATTTTTAGAAGGTCTCTTTCTATAAGTCTATATATATATAACTAAACTATTGTTGTATGTAAAGTAAATAAGGTTTTTAAAATGTTTAAGACGCTTCATTTAAAATTAAATTAAAATGCAGAGCCCCCCGGACCGGTGGCCAGGACCCGGGCAGTGTGAGTGCCACTGAAAATCAGCTCGTGTGCCGCCTTCGGCACGCATGCCATAGGTTGCCTACCCCTGGCCTAGGCCGACAAGGCCTAGGCTTAGGGTGGCAAATTTGAGCATCCATGGAGAAGCGCCGCTCCCCACCCCTCCCCACATCACCCCCCTACTCCAGCTCGCCTCCGCCTCCTCCGCGAGCACACCACCGCATCCTGTTTCTCTCCCCCTCCCTCCCAGCGCTTGCGCCGCGAAACAGCTGTTTCGTGAGGCGGGGAGGGAGGGGGGAGAAGGGGGAACACGGCGCGCTGGGGGAAGAGGCGGGGCCGGGGCGGGGATTTGGGGAAGGGATCCAATGGGGCAGGGAGGGGGCGGAGACTTTGGGGAAGGGGTTGGAATGGGGGCGGGGAAAGGGTGGAGTCGGGGCGGGCGGGGCAGCAATTATTTCAGGGCCTAGGGGCGGCAAAATCATTAATCCGCCACTGCATGCAACCAAAGTTTGGACAACTGCCTGCCCCGTTAGAAGAGAAACTTCAGAATGTATGCCCCTGTTGGAACAGGTACTGACTATTTGAAAGGGATTCCTCAGTTGCAGTAAGATGGCACCTGTCATTTTAAGTTCCTATTGAAGTACAGAAGCTCTCTGCTGAAGAGAAAGAGTCAGGAAGGAAATGACAAGGCAATCAAAGAGATACAAATGGAAGGTTTGCCTTCAGCTGTTCCTTAAAAGCAAAGTATTTTCCTGAGCTGTTGAGTTCATAGTTCAGTTGACACTTCTGTTCCTCCAGGGTGTGATGATCTATTACACCACCATCAACCATCTGCTTCCCAAACAGCTCATGGTACTCATCCAGGATGGCTCCAGCAATACTAGTGATCTGATTGTGGTAATCTTCCACGGCCTAGAAAACAGAGAAGCCGGAGCTGAAACAGGAATCCGGCCCTGGGATTCAGACTTTAAAGGTAACTTCTAGTACAAAGCTTGAAATTGACTTATGTTACAGAGCCCACTCCTCCTGCTAAGTACATCTGACTCAGCCTCAATTAACCTGTCGTATCCTTCCCATTAGTGATTGATAACTACTAAGGTGTCTGTGTATAAATAGAAGCTTTCTCCTTTATAATTAGATATTGCTCCTATTTTATTTTTCCAGCATAATCTAGTATTTCAGACATTGTCATCTCTTCCATGGTAGTATAATAGGCTTTACATAAAATATAATTTTATTTGTCAGTGTGATGTTGCACTCTATATGATTTTATGAAAGTATGCTGATGAGTGTGAACATAATGTAATTAAAATATGCTTCATGCAAAAGGTCTCTTGTAAGGTATCATTACAAAGCTTATAATCTACTGAGTGTGGTCATCCTATTTGTATAAATGTATCACTCTTGTATCTGAAACTAGAAATATGAAATATAACTCTGAGGGCCTATTGTAATTATGCAAAGTGTGGGCCATTATTGGTGGTTTGGAATCTTGATGGCTCCCATTAACCAGGACAGTTGACTGTAGATGGCTCTGTTTTACTTGTAAGTCTTTCTGTATACGTATGTGCTGGCAAGTGGGTAATGAAGTCTTGCAGTGACATGTGATCATGTCACCTGAACTGGAATCCATCTCTAACCTGGTGGTTTTCCATTGAGAAGGAGGGGTGGGAACCCAGAGAGGGACAAAGGATTCCCGCCTATGCAAAAGACACATAAGTAGGTGGAACAGAACAAAAGAGGCTGTAATCATGAGAAATCCCCGAGCTACCACCTGAGCTGGAACAAGGACTGTGCCAGGGAAAAGGATTGTGCCCAGACTAGGAAGGCATGTGATAGAAGCTTATTGAAAGATCTTTGAGGGTGATATTTTATCTGTATTCACTTTTCTTATTATATTAGGTTTAGAGTTGCGTGTTTTATTTTATTTTGCTTAGTAATTCACTTTGTTCTGTCTGCTATTACTTGGAACCACTTAAATCCTACTTTCTGTATTTAATAAAATCACTTTTTACTTATTAATTAACCCAGAGTATGTATTAATACCTGGGGGGGGCAAACAGCTGTGCATCTCTTTCTATCATTGTGATAGAGGGCGAACAATTTATGAGTTTACCCTGTATAAGCTTTATACAGGGTAAAACAGATTTATTTGGGGTTTGGACCCCATTGGGAGTTGGGCATCTGAGTGTTAAAGACAGGAACACTTCTTAAGTTGCTTTCAGTTAAATCTGCAGCTTTGGGGCACGTGGTTCAGATCCTGGGTCTGTGTTGGAGCAGACTGGCGTGTCTGGCTCAACAAGACAGGGTGCTGGAGTCCCAAGCTGGCAGGGAAAGCAGGGGCAGAAGTAGTCTTGGCACATCAGTTGGCAGTCTCCAAGGGGGTTTCTGTGACCCAACCCGTCACAGTGGTGTAGTCGAGCAGGATCTGTGCACAGCTGATTGCTTTGAGATACTGGTAGTGATTTTAAGTGAGTTTTAAGTGTGGTGGCTGGAGAACAGACAAAGTGGTTACTGGTTTGTTATTTTCTGTTTGCTTATTTCAGGTAAGGGAAATAGGGACAGAAAAGGAAGCAAAATAAGTAAGAGTGAAGATCAGAAGAGGCTAGAACTACACAAGTTGCAAATTGCCCAGGAAGGCTGAACTCTGGGCACTGGGAAAATCCCTGTTAACTAAGAAGCCCTTGAGCTGAGTGCATCTCCGTTTCAGTGAACTGCAGACAGGTGCGGCCCAACCTCTGTGTCTGTGCTGAAGCTGACTGGAGTGTCTAACTTAGCAAGACAGGAGTGGAGGGGTGCCTGTTCTGGCAGGAGGGGGTTCTCTGTGGTATCCCAGGTCATCGAGTGATGATCTAAAGGGAAAACAAATGGAAATTGATGTGTAATTTTCCTGGGAAAAGGCTGCTCTGGAAAAAGAAAAGGCTGCCCACCAGCAAACCCTGGACTTAAAAGACAAAGCAATTAAGACCCAGAAGCATGAACTGGCTGTAATGGAGTAGAAGAGGTGCACAAAGACATGTATCCTGGAGCTGGAAGTTGAGGTCCTGGTGACTGCTGCGGTGGGAACAGACCCCAAGGACTCTGTAGCTGGAAGCATGCCCAACCTAGTGAAATGGCGGGGATAAACCCAACTACTGCTGTTTCCTCCCTCTCTGATTTTCCATGAGTCTAGCTAACACAGATTAGGGGAGGAGCTCCTTAAAGGTGTGATACAAGTACCATATATACAAAATATATCCCTAAACGTTTTCTTCATTCTGTTTGTCCTTTAGAAAGGAACGTGTTTCCTGCAAATCTTAGGGCATGACTACATGTACAGTGCTGCAGCAGCAGCACATCTGGTGAAGACGCTCTATGCCAACAGGAGAGAGCTCTCCCGTCAGCATAATAAAACCACCTCTGTAAACAGCAGAAGCTATGTCGGATAGCGCTGTACACACAAGTGCTTATGTCGGTGTAACTTATGTCGCTCAGGGGGTGGTTTATTCATGATGTTGACACAGGCTGTAGTGTAGACATAGCCCTTTTAGCTCATTCTATTACTGACTTCTCGGTAGTGTGGATTTGAAAACGAGGATCGTGGAGGGTTACTAGACACCTGTGGAGCGGAAAACAGTCACAGAAAGGACCTACCTTCTTAGCTCCTGCACTCCGGCGTGGTAGCTGAGGGCGTGGAGGAATCATCTCCTTAACTCTATGTGAGAGAAAGCAGAAGGAAGCTATTCCATGTGCAGAAAGCAGCCCCAATCTGTCCTGGACCCAAGTAGTCTGTATTTCTAGGGTTATCGGCCTGTTATAGTTAGCTTGGGGATAAGGCACAGAAACAATCAGATCATGGGAGAAATTATGAAGCCTCACAGGGAATGTCCATACAGCAGCTGGAAGGGCAATTCCCAACCCAGCCAGACACACATGCACTTGAACTATCATGCTAAAAGCAGTAGTGTGTCCGTGATGGCACAGGTGGTGGCTTGGGCTAATTGCCTGAGTACAATCCTGCCTGACCTCCTGGGTAAATACTTGGGCAGCTAGCCTGAACTGCTGCCATGCCATCACAGCCACACTGCTATTTTCAGTGTACCAGCTCAAGTAGAACTGGAAATTACCCTGCCTGCTGCCGTGTAGACACACCATAGACCAAGAACAACTCAGTGCAGACAAAAATCTCTACATTCAGTGTGTGGGGCTCATCATGACTTCTTGGATAACTAGTTAAATATAAAAATATATGGAGATATACCTATCTCATAGAACTGGAAGGGACCCCGAAAGGTCATCGAGTCCAGCCCCCTGCCTTCACTAGCAGGCCCAAGTACTGATTTTTGCCCCAGATCCCTAAGTGGCCCCCTCAAGGATTGAACTCACAACCCTGGGTTTAGCAGGCCAGTGCTCAAAACCTCACACCTCACTAAAGGCCCACGGCCTGATTCTCATTTACATTAAAGGGTGTAAAGGGGGCTTAGTATGAATGCAAATAAAGTCCCTAGGCTCTTTTCACAAACCTGACTGTCCTGTACTATCTAGTCCAGTGTCTAGTACTTGTGCTGTGAGCCACTGCTCTGGCCCTTTCTATTCCTGCAATGTTTTAATTGATCTCTAGCACCCACCTCTGTACATTGCCATGGGCTGGTCTCTGAAAATGCTCAACATCAGTACAAATATTCAAAGTACATCCCCTACCTCACTTACCTACCCACCTGCTGCCCTATGACACCCCCACATCTCAGATCTTGTATGTTTGTCAATACCAGTCTCATGGAATCCATGACTACTGACAGGAATGAAAACTGTATAGCATTATCTACTTTATCATTAGAAAACATTGTGAAAATATTATTAAGGGTCAATGATCAGGCAAATAACGCTGGAAATATGAGTTTAGACTGATAGAGAACCTTAAACTCAGCCCACAGAAGCTGACTATGGAATTCACAGTATTTTAAACATGAGTCCAGAAATGATTCAGTATTGACATACATAGGAATAACGTTTGCAACTAGATGAGCACACTTCTGGGTGTAACCTGATTACCATCCAGGGCCAGAATAGATTCAGATTTCAAACCCAGAATCCAGATTCCCAGATCCCAAGGCCACTGTGGTCACCTAGTCTGACCTGTATAACACAGGCCAGAAGCCCTCCTGCCCAATGTTCAGCATTGCACAACTGGCTGGGTGTACTGAACCTGATTCCAATCTCACTTACCCCAGTATAAATCAGGACCAATAACACCAAATTCAGTGAAGTTGCCCAGAAGTAGAACTGGTGTAAACAAAGTTAAAATGAAGGCTGTTATAAAGGGGTTTCAACTTCCTCTCATGCACCAGACATAGGCCATTGCTAGAGCATACCAGTTTATGTAGGCCAATGACCTACTGAATTATGGCAATTCCTGTGTTGTTCCAGGGGCAGTGGGGAGTAGTGCCCATGCAATGGAATTATTGTGTGGGCTCTGCCCCCATGTAAACTTGTACATGGGGGTGGGAGGACAGGGGGGCAGTGGAAGCAAGAGTGGGACCCAGAGGGCTGGCGAGCAGGTAGGAACTGCTGGGACCACCCTTCCCAGCCTGAAGTGGGCTGCCACCCCCTCAGCCGAGTCTCAGTAGCTCCCTCACACCCTCTCCTATCCCTCTGCCCCCCTGTGCTGTTCCCTTAGGTCTGTTGATTCAGTTGTACATCGAGAGAGTTTCTGAGTCCCTTTTTCCGCACATGCTGGATTTTATCTGTTTTCAGTATTCTCTCTTTCCTATTCAATAAATTATACATTAAAAAGAACCATACAAGACTAGGTGAAATGTGAATCTATCTTCCTGTCTTCCAAACCCACACCAGTTCCCTGTTCTTAATGGGCCTGATCTAAAGCCCAATGAAGTCAAGGCAATTCTTTCTATTGATTTCAATGGACTTTGGATCAGGCCCATTATTATTTATACAGCACCACAAGTGTGCGTGACATTTAACAGATACATTACAAAACAGTCCCTGGCCTGAGGAGCTTACAGTCAAACCACTGACTCCAGTGTTACAGTCACGCCTTTACGCACCGGCTGGCGAGCTCCTCCGGCAATCGTTTTGGTACCAAGGCCTTGGCCAGCTCTATTTCCATCACCAGAAATGTCCCTGCATCTACATATTGCTGTGAAGACAAACATTGCTCTCTCAGTGTCACATTTTTCAGTGTCACTGCTGTCATGACTGAAGCCTTAGCACAATGCCAGATGTTTACCAAGGACTCTGCTGGAATCATAGAGTAACAGCTTGTTTTCTTATCTGACCTCAAGATTTTATATCACAGAAAAATCGAGTTAGAGAAATGCACAGGTCTGGAGAAACAATTTCCTCAGATTCTTTTCTTTTTTTTTTTTCTTTTTTTGAGAAGGAGCCAAAATATGAAAACTGTTGAAGAACCCTCCTAAATTCAGTCCCCGATATTTTTGACCCCCCCACTTGAATGATAATGTGTGCACAGATGTCACTGGAGAGATCTCACTGTGGTAGCTGCAAAAGAGGTGAAAGTCCCCAGTCCTCAGCTCTCCTAGCAGAAGTCAATTATGTAGATGATGCTGGAATCTGGGCTATGGGAATTTACACAATGACAGTCTACAGATTCTTTCCATCTCTTTAAAGCACACACTTACCTGTCCTTCCAGGTTCTGACACACTGTTGCTTCAGTTTCTATAGCAGTCTCTGACACCTGAGATTTTAGCGTAGTGGACATCTAGCAAGAGAAAGAAGGTCTACATTGTTCAGTATTCAAAGATCCTCACACTTCCCAAAATTAATCCAGTCCCTGTGACACCAAGAGAGCAGTAAAACAGAGGTTTATTACCAGCTTACCGTGCTACAGTTTTGAAAGCCATGAATATTAAACAGCCAAGCCATTCTCAATGTTAGATTTGGTTCATGCATCATGTATTAGGAAATTCCAAAGTGATGACAATTTTTCAATCATTCAGGAAGAAGGAATACTAACTGGTCCCCCTGCCTCCCTTCTGTCCTAAAACATGCAACGTTTCCAAGTTTCTGAGTTCCACAAATCTGCTTTCTCTTATACAAACTGTGACACTGTATGGAATATGTGGGACACTTTGTGATACTACTGATACCATATTATAAAATTGCAAGGAATCTGACCAGATATGCAATGTAAGGTATCTATGAAAATGTTATAATTTGCCAAGTATGATAATCTTGTGTATATGTTTGTATCACCTTTTTATGGTGAGTTATAGATATGTAGGGTATATCGGTTATTTCCAAACTTGTGCTGTGTTTCTGGGTAACACCCCCAGACAGATTGGCAACAGCACTGCCTAGCCTGTTCGATAGCCCATCAAGGGTCATCAGCTATACAACTGACCCATTGAGAGAAGGCAAGGGATACACCTTATGAGACAGCAAGGCATGTAGGGGCATGCCGGTAGACAGAAAACTCTAAGGCTTTTCCATGCCATGTGCTGTGAAGCTTGTGTTTGGGACACAGGAAGTACAAGCCACATGGCAAAAGAATATAAAAGGCAGCTGCATCTTCTCCATTTTGTCTTCATTCCTGCTTCTTACCCTCGAGTAACTTTTCTACAAACGAAGCTCTGAACAAAGGACTGAATGACCCATCCAGCTGTGGATGTGTTCCAGAAGGACTTTCAAGCCAGCAATCTCACCAGTATTGCTAAGAACCTGATATATGGACTTTGAAGTCTCTGTATGTATCTGAGTGCTTTACCATTTAACAACTCTCTTGTTCTTTCTTTTTTCTTTATGATAAACCTTTAGTTTTAGGCACTAAAGGATTGTCTGGCAGCGTGGTATTTCGGGTAAGAACCAAACCTATACTGACCTGGAAATGTGGCTGACCCTTTGGGGTCAGAAGAACATTTTATATAGTGAGCACAGTTTTTTAAATAACTTCTCACTATCCTGGACCTAGGTGCTGATTGGGAGCCAGAGAACTGGAATGCAATAAAGGGGGCTGGGTGATTTCTTTTTTAGCTTCTTGATAACCAGTGTGGGGGAGATCAGAAGCACAGTTTGTGACTGGTTGATGAGCTTAACTTCAGTGTTAACCACCAGTTTTGGGTGTATCTGCTCTCCCTTTTGCAGCTTTCCCTGACCTTGGCATTTTCAGTGAGGTCTGCCCCAGGCACCCCAGGTCACACAAGCATGGCAAGGCCCAAGAGCTTTATAACCATGGGTGAATTTCTCTCTAACCCTTACCTTTCTTAGAACATCCTTCTCTTTGGTCATTTTATCCTCTTTCTGGTTCCTACTGGGCATAGCTTTTGAATGAGGGGAGCTGGCTGCTGCGATCACTGGCCCTAATTTGTTCAGATTGGCTTGATGCCCAAGATCACGTAAAATGCTGAATAGACACTTAGTCTGAAAAAGAAGGAAATTATGAAATTGAGGCAAAAAAAGAAATGCAGCTTGCGGGACTGGACATCACCATCCTTCTTGCCTCAACACTTCACATGCTAGAGCACAGCAATGAATCATTAAATTATCACTAAACATTTTTCAGAGGTTGCCTTTTTAAATAACATTTTATCTCTGCATAGGAGGGTTGCATCACCTGCAATTTAGCACCTATTTAAAAGCTATGGTTAGTGCAATAACTTAGGTTGGTTTGAATTAGCTACATCATCTGGACAACAGCTCTCATCAAGCATGAGGTCCAGTCCATGGCATTAAGGAGACCAGGAAATGAGAATGTAAGAGAGACAGAGAGAGCATGTGTTGTTTTATTTGCAAGTTACAATGTATTTTTATAATTGTGACCCAGTGGGGAGTACCATATGGGAAAGAAGACATCACTGCTGGGATATTGTGGAGCAGTAGGGTGACCAGACAGCAAGTGTGAAAAATCAGGACAGGGGGTGGGGGGGTAATAGGAGCCTATATAAGGAAAAGCCCCAAATATCGGGACTGTCCCTATAAAATCGGGACATCTGGTCACCCTATGGAGCAGAGACTAGAGGAAAGCTGTCTGCCTGGACCTGCTTTTCAATAATCCATCTCCTAGAAGGATAAAGTTTGTGTGACTCACACAGGAAAGGGCTGGTGTTTTCATCCAGGTCCAGCTACTAGACTGCACCTGGGATATTTGTGATCCCCAGTCAACAGTTAAGGTGAATGAGGGGACCAGTAAAACCAACTTACTTTCCCTTGTGTGAGTCTCTCCTGCTTTGGGACAAACACGGAAACAAGTTCAACATTGTTCAAGGGAAACATGAATGTTAATATTTGCCTAAAGTAACATGGTTGGGGGGAAGGGGAGAAGAGAAACTAAAATAGAAAATACTGTATGAATTACAACCTCAATGTGGTCCTTTTAATTAATTAAAATCTTTTGAGCATCCCTGGTGGTAACTACACTGATCCAGTAACCACTATATTTTCCTAGGAGGACCTGCCTCACTAAGAAGTGGTGGGAAAAACACCTATCATAAGCGGGAAGAAGATTTTTACAACACTGATTAGCTGCTGCCAGAGAAAGGAGTGAAGACAAGTCATGTCCTAAGGGTCCCTTCAATCCCCAAACCCCATTGCACAGGATGTCTGCCTCATACCACGGCTTAGGAAATAAATTGGCTCATTTAGGAAACTGCTCCAATAAACTTGGAAATCCAGTGACGTCTCAGAGCCAGCTTTATTGTAAAGGCAAACCTAAAGTACCATTCTGATAGCCCTGACTGCTCCCAAACATGTGATGCATGAACACAGATGGACAAGGAGATTGTACTGCAGTGTACAGTACAAGCCCATTCTCACCTTCCCAAACACCTCACTGTCTTGATATGCAAATACACGGAAAGCCCCTCGTATGCGCTTCACACCAGGGTACAGCAAAGGCACCATGTTGACGTATGCCACGCCATGGAAGAAAATCTGTCCATCATCATCTCCCTGGAAAGGCAAACAAGACCAGGCATGAGTTAGCTAAATGATTGTTCTCAGGACTGTTCTTTGCAAGGTTTTCAGGCCATCACTGCAGGCTTCTGCATACTGCACCAATTCCTAATAAAACAAAGTTATATCAATGGTGTCCTGTCACTGAAGTTTCCCCAGCTGGCATAAAGCTGTGTCAGCTTGAAAGAATATGCTGTAGTCCTTCCATACCCAATATTATTCCAATCTCTGCAAGTCAAGGACACATTTTCTTAGTGAAACCAAGTGCTCTGTTCCTACTGGGCTGAATCCTGGCACTCAAAGAGATAAGCCTCTAAAGGCACTCACCAGCTGACTAGGAAACAGAATGTTCTGCTAGAGTTATGAGGAGCTTAGTGTCCAGTATGGGGCAAGGAGAACATAGTTAGTCATTGCTGCAAAATCATATGGCCAGTTTAGGATCCCTGAACATCTGAGAGGTGCTCAAGGAACATCTTGGCCAAAGGAAAGATCAGCTAATCACTTTCCCAAGCAGTTACTTTCCCAAGTAATCCCTCTTCAGTTGCCATGGTACTAAAGAGCACTAGCAAGATAGTTGTGTGTTGTAACTTGAAACGTTGTTATTTGTTTGACAGCTTTGTAAGGCTGATTACTCCATTACCAAAGCCTCTAGCCCTCCCTAACTCACTTCTGCCATTTGGAAACTGTTCCTGGCTTAGCAGAACCGCTGATAGAAAATGGCACCAAAATACTATCATACACATACATACAAATCTCTAGGCATATTTACCTTGTCTAACTTGCTAGATTTCCCTTTGGTAGAAGTAACCACAGGCACCCTGGTAATCTCCACTGGCCAGTACCGGCACTCTGCAATGCGCTTCTGTAAACTGCCACACCAAAGGAGACAATTGAGAAATATAGAAAAACAGTCCAGAGATTAGCCTGTGCCATGTAGGGAAAGTGAGGCTACACATTTACAGTAAACTCTATGGGAAGAAATAAACTGGTAGAATTATTTTCTTAAAAAAAAAAAAAAAATCTACCAGTGTCCCCAGTGAAATGTTCTATTCTAAGTTTCAGTTTTTATTAGCAGGGACAACTGCATGAAAACAGGAATGTTATTCCTTAAGAGTTCATCAGCTCCTATGGCTCATTCTCCATTGTAAATCACACTGCTTTGGCTGTGTTATCACAGCATTCAACTGTAAAAATCACAAAGGACAGAATCACAGGATAGAATCGCAGAAATGTAGGGCTGGAAGGGACCTTGAAAGGTCGCCTAGTCCATTACCCCATGCTGAGGCAGGATCAAGTATACCTATGCCATCCCTGAAAGGTGTTTGTCTAACTTCTTAAAAACCTCTGATGATGGGGATTCCTCCAACTCCCTTGGTAGCCTATTCCTGTACTTAACTGTCCTTATAGTTGAAAGTTTTTGCTAATATCTAATCTAAATCTCCTTTGCTGCAGATTAAGCCCATTACTTCTTGTCCTATCTTCAAATGGATATGGAGAACAATTGCTCACTGGCCTCTTTACACCAGTCCTTAATATACTTGAAGACTGTTATCAGGCTCCCTCTCAGTCTTCTTTTCTTAAGACTAAACATGCCCAGGTTTTTTTAAACTGTTCCTCACAGGTCAGGTTTTCTAAACCTTTTTATCATTTTTGTTACTGTCCTCTGTACTTTCTCCAACTTGTCCAAGTCCTTCTTAAAGTGTGGCACCCAGAACTGGCCACAATACTCCAGGAGAGGCCTTACCAGCACCGAGTATAATGGAAGAGTTACTTCCCAGGTCACACTTATGACACTCCGGTTAATACACCCCAGCATGATATTAATTTTTTTTACAACTGCATCTGTAGTTGGCTCACAATCAATGTGACCCCGTATAACCCCCAGATCCTTTTCAGCAGCACTACTGCCTAGCTGGCTATTCCCCATTTTGTAGTTGTGTGTTAGTGTAGCACCTTGCACTTGTCTTTATTGAATTTCATCTTGTTCATTCTGACCAATTCTCAAGACTATTTTTAAGTCTAATCCTGTCCTCCAAAGTGCTTGCAATCTCTGCCAGCCTGGTGTCATCCACAAATTCTAGGTGCTTACAAGCAGATTATTTAATAATTTGTTCCAGTATCTTTCCAGGTATCAAAGTTAGGCTGACTGGTTTATAATTCCCTGGGTCCTTTTTGTTCCCCTTTTTAAAGATAGGTACTATGTTTGTTCTTCTCCACTCCTCTGGGACCTCACCCATCCTCCATGAGTTCTTGAGGATAATTGTTAATGGTTCCGAGACTGCTCCACCCATAGGCGCCGACTCCGTGGTTGCTGCAGGGCTGCAGCACCCATGGGGGAAAATTAGCAGGTGCTCCACACCCACCAGCAGCCAAGCTCTCCCAGCCCCCATCCCCTCCTCACCTTCTCCTCCCCCAAGCGCGCCGCGTCCCCACTCCTCCCCCTCCCAGCACTTCCCGCCTGCCGCCTAACAGCTGTTTGGCGGCGCTTAGGACTTTCCAGGAGGGAGGGGGAGGAGTGAGGATGCAGCGCAGTCAGGGGAGGAGGTGGTAAAGAGGTGGGGCAGGGGTGGGGACTTGGGGGAAGGGGGTGGAATTGGGGCGGGGTGAGGTTGGTGCAGGGGCGGGCAGGGGTGGGGTCAGGGGGTTGAGCACTCACGGGGAAGAGGGGAAGTCGGCGCCTATGGCTCCACCTAGTTCCTTAAGTACCCTAGGGGTGCATGTCAGGCCCTGATGATTTGAATACATCTAATTTATCTAAATATTCTTTAACCTGTTCTTTTCCTATTCTGTCCTGTGTTCCTTCCCTCTTGTTGTTAATATTAACTGTGTTAAGCATCTGGTCATAATTAATGTTTTTAGGGAAGACAGAAGCAAAAAAAAAAACATTAAACACCTCAGCTTTTTTGGTGTTGTCCATTAGCTCTCCTTCCCCACAAGTAACAGACCTACACTTTCCTTCACCTTTCTCTTGCCCCTACTGTATTATAGAACCTCTTCTTGCCTTTTATGACCCTGGCTAGGCATAACACAATTTGTGCCTTAGCCTTTCTGATTTTGTCCCTACATGCTTCTGCTATTCTTTTACACCCATCTTTAGCAATTGGTCCAGGGTTCCACTTTTTGTAGGATTCCTTTTTGATTTTCAGGTCATTAAAGAGCTCCCAATGCAACCATGTTGGCCTCTTACTATTCCTCCTATCTTTGCATTGGGATAATTTGCTGTTGATAGGCTAGGATGATCACTTAGGGCAGGGAGAGAGCTGGGAAGGTTTAAAGAGGAAACTTCAGACCACATCTTATGTCTTCTTTCATGCTACTTGTTATGCCTGGAATAGCCTTCCATTTAATATGAGCCAAGTCCTCCCTCTCTTTCAAAACACTCCTGAAGATAACCATCTTCCCCCTCCTGCAAAGCATCCACTCTGTTTGTTCGGTACCCTTTGCACTGGACAGAACAAACCATTTTGTGGCTTTAGAAAATAAGCATTTTGGGGCTGTGACTCTTATTTGTTTGGCACATTTTACTCACTGTGGCACATTAGATATAGATCTATTATTGTTTGGCACATTAGATATAGATCTATTATTAATTGGCAAATCAGTCTGAAACATGTTGGAGTTTCCCTTTCTTTTCTCCCCTTTACCTTAGAAAGGAGATGAATAAGAGCAGACATGACAAAAGTTTAAAATAATGAATTATAGAGAAGGTAGATGGAGAGTGTCCATTCTTCCTGTCTTATAGCTCAAAAACAAAGGGAACATTCAATGAAATTGAAAAGTAGCAAATTCAAAATGGATACAAGGAAATACTTCTATACATAATGTATAACTGGACTATGGAACTCATTGCCACAGTATGACATTGAGGTCAAAAACTTAGCAAGATTCAGAGGGATTTGATATTTATATAGATAACAGAAATATCCAGACTTACTGATGCTAAAAAAATTAAAAGTACTGGAAGGGATATAAAACCTCATGCTTCAGGATTTAAAACAAGCTCTATAAGGGATTAGGCAGATTACCCCACATCTATGGTGGGGTCTATTGCGTCTTCCTCGAAAGCACCTGGTGCTGGTCACTGTCAGAGACAGGATACTGAAATAGATGAATCATGGGGCTGATGCAGTCTGGAAATTCATATGTTCCTCCCCAACCCCATCACTTTTTGCCCAGAGAATTTTTCTTTATTTTCTTACCTGAGAACTGCTGGAGGGTCTAGGTAACAGCGCCTTTCCAAGTCCCAAACAATTCTCTTCTTTATGCTCTCTGCCTGAATCCTAAATTCCCTGTCCTAGGAGAAACAGTCAGATGTTCAGATCACACCCTGACTCAGTACACTGCGTTCCAACTGATGGGCAGTGCCTAGCCTAGCGGTGAAATGCTTATCACCTCCAAGGGGAGAACTTATTGCAGAATTCAACTCCACACAGAAAAATCAGCATATGAACAAAATGAGTTAGCAACAGTTACTATAGTTCTGGGGCCAATTAAAGTTAGATTTACTTGTGTCACCAGCAGCCTGGCTTGTGATGGTGCTTGGACAAGCATCAGATCTCCTCCTCTGGACCTTGCTTCTCATTCCTCCCATTTTGTATCTTTGAAAGTAGGTTGTCAGTAATTAGTTTTGCTACATACTACGGCTCTCTCCCGGCTGCTTCAAGGTCATTTCTTCCTCACCTCTGTTTTGTTGAGCTCTCCATCCTCCTCCTCATAGGGGCCACCAACAATAAAAGAGTCTGGAATGTTTTGAGCTCCTGGTGCCAGGATGTTGCTAATGGGCCATTTTTTTGGCCGAGGTATTGGCTCTTTTTCACCACCAAGCTTCAGGATCCCGTTCTTGAATGCCAAGGGGTACTCTTTCTAGAGAGGTATAAAGGAAAAGGATTTTCATTCAGAGGTCTGAGCAAAAGCAAGTAAACACTATAGTGAGGTGTGACCAACAAGTAAAAAGCAACATTATAGCGACACAGCTTGGAAAACATGCTCCAGCCCACACAGGTATAGAAGCTACAAAACACAAGCATCAAACTGCATGAACTGACAGAGACAGGAAAATCCCCCCCATTTCAACACACATGCACATGGGAGTTGCCATGGAGATGAACAGACCAGGCAACAATGGGCTTGATCTAAGTCACAGAAATATACATACACAAACAGCTGAAAAATCATTGACAAATATCAATATAGTTATGTGGCCACAGAAACAGTTGGACATACTCACATAATAGGCATAGGCATTCATTACTCATGCAGATTAACATCTTAGAAACCACAACCACAGAAGCAAAGATCTATCTGGGACATGTACAAAGAGTTCATTGACAGTTCCCCACCTCTCCAACAGTTGGTACTTGCAAGCAAACCATGTAGTTTTGCTGGGGTCCTGTGGGAACAAACACTTCAGGGACAGAATAAGCAGCCTCCAAGGTAACCCTGAGGAGATTGCCACCTGAAAGTTGTGATACAGAAAGCAGGGACTCTTGGATGTACACTGACACTTCAAGGCCACACTGCAAAACAAGAGCAAACTGAAGTGACATTCCACTGCAAACAGCAAAGTTATTAAACAGTTACCTGCATCTGTCTTTGCAGAGGAAATGAGTAGAGGTCTGCCTAAGTTAGAAATCTACAATATTATTTTATTCATTGATTCAAATGAAGACAAAATGGGCATTACTGTGTGCTAAATGAATCTTATGGTAATTAAATTATTTGTTTCCAAATTGTAATGTTTCTCTACAGTAACTCCTCACTTAACATTGTAGTTATGTTCCTGAAAAATGCTACTTTAAGCGAAACAATGTTAAGCGAATCCAATTTCCCATAAGAATTAATGTAAATAGGGGGGGTTAGGTTCCAGGGAAATTTTTTTTTGCCAGACTATATATATATATATATATATATATACACACACACACACACACACAGTATAAGTTTTAAACAAACAATTTAGTACTATACACAGCAATGATAATTGTGAAGCTTGGTTGAGGTGGTGGAGTCAGAAGATGGGATATTTCCCAGGGAATGCCTTACTGCTAAATGATGAACTAGCACTCGGCTGAGCCCTCAAGGGTTAACACATTGTTGTTAATGTAGCCTCACACTCTACAAGGCAGCATGAATGGAGGGAGGGGAGACAGCATGGCAGACAGAGACGGAGACACACACCCTATGTGAGAGAGATGCGCATTGCCCCTTTAAGTACACTGACCCCACTCTAAGTAGATTGCCTTTTTAAGTAGATCAGCAAGTTGAGACAGCAGCTGCTGCCAGCAAGCTCCCTCCGTCCTGAGCCCTGTTGTGTCCCTGCCCTCCCCCCCAGGGCAAGGTAAAGGAGCGGGGGGCAGAAGCGGGGGGAGGGGGACACCCTGACATTAGCCCCCCTCCTACCCCACCTGCACAGCAAGCAGAAGGCTCCCAGGGGCAGCTCCAAGGCAGAGGGCAGGAGCAGCACACGGCAGTGGGGAGAGGGACAGCTGAACAGCTGGCAACTGATAGCCTGCTGGGCGGCTGCTGCACAGGGAACTTAGGGGAACAGGGAGCTGATAGGGAGACTGCCAGTCCACCCTGGTTCCAAGCACTCAATTTGCTCCAATGGGCTGCTCTTTCTGCAAGCAGTGGACAAAGCAAGTGGCTGCCAAACAAGGTTATAAGGGAGCATTGCGCAACTTTAAATGAGCACGTTCTCTAATTGATAAGCAACAATCAATTAACAACGTTAACCGGGACAACTTTAAGTGAGGAGTTACTGTATTTAGAATGTAAGCTTCTCAGGACAGGGACCATGTCTCTCACAGTCACTGCTTAACAAACAAATGAAAAGTTAAATAAAACTTAGCTGTGTTGAAAGAACATGAAGGATGCAAAATGAAACACTCAACATTCAGGAGATGCCAAAGTTAACACATGGAACCTCAACTGAGCTCTTTATCCATATACATTATTACACAGTATTTAATCACAAGATCACATATAGGATAGATGGGATTCAGTGAATGAAGTAACTTTTGAATATTTATTATCTTCACTGTTCAGTGTGAGTGGACACTTGCCTCATTCATTACATATCGATTGACCTGTCTATTGACGGCAGAAATATATTTTCAGATATACCAGTGTAATTTAAAGTCCACTGATTTCAATGAATTTACACTAGTAATTGCAAACAGAATTTGGATTAAAATTAGACACATTTCCGCATTCACTATGTATCATTGCTTCATTCACTGAACACTGTTCAACCAGTGTGCTGAATAAGGCAGGGATCCTATAGTAAAAATAGTATGCGATGAAGTACTAAAAGACCATGTAATATTTTGTTTGCACAAAGGGACAGAGTTAAGGTTATGCAGGCATCCTTAATAAAGCCATTTTCTGATTTTTCAGTCCTTCGCTTTGCAACATTAACGTTCTTTCAATGTAGCTTTTTGTACAGCATATATTAGGGTTTATGGACCCAATCCTGCTCCTATTGTAATCAATGGGAGAAGGATAGGGCCCCAAATTTTTATATGTATTACCATAATGTATACATAATTTGCAATATGGCTGAGTCATAGTTCCTGAAATATTCATAGCTTTTGATTTAAATTGCACCATATAGCTGCATAGTTGAATTATTGAGTGAATGTCCTTGGTAAATTCTAAATACCTTGGCATCTGGGCGAAGGCTCTCTAGTGGAGAGCCAGGAACTGAATGCAGTGGAACTGTTGCTCTAAATGAACACTGTCCTGTGAAGAAACAAAGACAGAATCAGCACAAAGTCTGAAGCCCTCCTGTAGTGAAATCACTCCCTGAATGGAAAAACTGTGCTATCTGCCCCCCATATAATCCAACCTTCTAAAGACAGCACTAGGTATTATTTGTCAACAGAAGTGAAGCTACAAGGAAGAAGCTATGTGAGAGCCAGAGGTGGATGTGGACACAGTATGAATTCTACCTTCCAGCAGAGGTAGAAGGTCCACAACAGCCTGACCAAGAGCCACAGTCTTTTCCTCTTTCTGCTTCTTCTCCTTTGGTAAAACTTCAATCACAGTCACTGGGGGGGAAAAACATAGAATCTGGTGATGTTTCTCAATCACCTATAAAACAGCAGTTGGAAACAGTGAGATCATTCAGGGTGCTTAAAAAGTATATTGGCTCTTAATCAACACTCCTACTTGATTCCCCAGTGATTGAAGGGGATAGAATAGCTGAGTGTTTCCCACAGCCAGTGCTCAGACTTCATTCTCAAGCAAGTCCTGCTGGAAGAGGATGAGAATAGAGAAGCTGAGAGTTCCCCACAGCGATGCTTCTACTCCATTCTCTAATGAGTGACTCCTGCTAGGAGCAGATGGGGATGAAGCAGTGAGAGATCCCCACGGCCAGAGCTCCTTTCAATTCTCTAGTGATTCATTCTGAGCAAATATAAATGGACAGTTAGAGTGACAGTTACTTACAGAATAAGGGTTTGTGTGCGATGTCATCTAGAGAGTTTGGCCCATCAGAGTTGTATTCAAAGCTAGTGGTGAAGTTATATTTCACTGTCCCATCTGAAGAAACATCAATTTTCAGGGAGTCACCCAGGATAACACCATTATACTCTGCACGCACATAGGTCACTGGAGTGTCTCCTTTGACACCTTTCTGGCAAACACAAACCAACAATAGGTTAATTATTTTATTCTACTGCAAAAGGCAGATTTCAAACTGCTCACAACCAGAGCTGTCCACAAAAGGTGGTTGAGCTAAGGAAAAGAAGGATTTTTTTCAGTTACTCCACACACAAGAATGGGTTTATGATGAAAAATTCTGGTCTCACTGAGATTTCACCCTCTTTTCTTCATTCTCTCCCTCTGCAGCACCCCAGTGGTTACTAGCACCCAGATGTGGTAGGGGCATTTAGAACTAATAGTCTTCATTAACATGGAGGAGGAGAGAAGTATAACTACACTGACTTTCATCCAAAGAGGCAACATAATAATGAATAATAATAATAATTTCAAGAAAGGTTCTGATTTTTGTAAACAACTGAGGAGGTAGCTCACAAATGGCATGGCTGCATTAATATGAAATTCTAGAATACTGTATAGCTAAAGAACTCCTTGAAATCTAGTGGGAATTTTAGCAAGCTTTTTGGAAATATTTGGATTCTGTAGACTGATTAATTTTACACTAGTAGCTTTAAAGAAGGGCACAGTTTTTAGCATGTGTTTACCAGTGTTCTTAAACATAGGAATATAGGAAATTCTAAAGTATATCAGACCAGTGGTCCATTTAACTCACCAGCTTTTCTCTGACAGTGTCCACTGGCCAGGAGCAGATGCTCCCAAAGACAGTGCAAGAAATGATGAGGTGGGCAATTATAATATAACCTCAATACAGGGGGGAAATATTTCCTAACCCTCTCAAGATAGAGGTTGGCTTATGACCAACAAAGGCTGATATCCTCTCCAAACTTTTCTTTAATTCTTATCCATATAAGCCAAATCTTTATTTGAATCCTGCTAAGCAATTTTGCCTAATGATACTTTGCGGTAATCATAGACTTTAAGGTCAGAAGGGACCATTATGATCATCTAGTCTGACCTCCTGCACAGTGCAGGCCACAGAATCTCACCCACCCACCCACTCCTGTATCAAACCTGTGTCTGAGCCATTGAAGTCCTCAAATCATGGTTTAAAGACTTCAAGGTGCAGAGAATCTTCCTGCAAGTGACCCGTGCCCCATGCTGCAGAGGAAGGCGAAAAACCCCCAAGGCTTCTGCCAATCTGCCCTGGAGGAAAATTCCTTCCCGACCCCAAATATGGCGATCAGCTAAACCCTGAGCATGTGGGCAAGACTCACCAGCCAGAGACCCAGGAAAGAATTCTCTGTAGTAACTCAGATCCCACCCCATCTAACATCCAATCACAAGCCATTGGGCATATTTACCGCTAGTAGTCAAAGACGAATTAATTGCCAAAATTAGGCTATCCCATTATACCATCCCCTCCATAAACTTATCAAGCTTAGTCTTGAAGCCAGATATATCTTTTGCCCTCACTATTCCCCTTGGAAGGCTGTTCCAGAACTTCACTCCTCTGATGGTTAGAAACCTTCATCTAATTTCAAGTCTAAA